ATGCCGTGCCCTTCCACAGCACCGTAGTTCTGAGCACTTGTCACGTGCAGTGAGTTGGCGAATGCTTGGCCATCCAACTGGAACGGCGAACTGAGGTGGAGTTCATCACAAGCGCGAGCAGGAAGCGTTGGGCACATGTTTGTGGTGATTACTGTGATGATATCACTGCGGTTCTCGTCCAATGGAACTCAAAGGCAGCAGAAGGAGGCGCAGTCAGTGTTGCAGGGATCCAGTGAAGATTGCCGATGTGTATTGATTTGATTTTTTGCACCTGGTGTGTGGGGGTCGCCTGTGGCAAGGCAACCATTCAGTGACAGTGAAGCAGTTCCAGCCCCCGTCATCGTAATGATTCTTTTGTTTCACAATCATCACCTGATGAAATTGATCCTTGGCTCAAGAGTGTGGGGGTGCCTGCATTGTTGAGACTCGAAGCACACTAAATTTCCATAGTAACACAGGACAGAAAGGTGACAATTTTGTGCATCAAGGTGTGTTTGATACAGCTAGCTGATCACTGAGGAGAGCATCGGGCTCCGCTAAGCGGTTGTTTGCGCTCATGTCCACAGCTGTGCCCTCAGACTCAGTTACGGAATGCGTGCAGAAGGAACAGAAGATCATGAAAAGTAGGAATTGGACGCTGCACTTTTTACATTCTGAGGAAGGATCGGGAAAAAACACAAAGGGCTAGAAATGGCACATGCACCGTACTACAAGCTGATTGGCACTTTTCAACATTGCAATTCTTTTTGTTGGGGGAGCTCAGGGGAAAATTGGCTTTGTGCAGATTGCAATTCCGGATTGAACTCTCATTGGGGGGTTCAATCACATGGATGTTCTCGTTCAAGGTAACTATCCTCAAAACCCGATAAGAACAATCCCGCACATGCCGTTGAACTTCTTGAAGCTTTGGTTGCCTGAGGTCGCTGGGGTACCAAAGCTGCTTGGCTGAAGGACGACCCCTTCAGACTTTGTGCTGGAAGCAAGCAAGCAAGCAAGCAAGCAAGCAAGCACGCACGCACGCAGGCAGGCAGGCACGCAAGCAAGCAAGCAAGCAAGCAAGCAAGAAAAACCTTGGAGCTTGGAACCGCTTGAGGGGCCTAGTAGCAAGATGTAGCAAGAAACTACTAGGTGGAGGCCATCGCTACTAGTAACAAGAAGCGAGGCAATAGAAAACCATTTTCTGCTTGGCCTTTCTTGCCAAGGACAAGACCCAGTGATCTTTCTTTGCCGCTCTGCGAACGAAAACAGTAGCAGGGAAGCGGGACCACCTGAGTCGGCGACCACGGCCTGGGTCACGAAACACCGGTTTTGTGGCTATTTCGAAGTTCTTTACCCTTGTGTTTCCCAAGGCATCAAGATATCCAAAGGCCTGTGGCAGGTGTGTAAGGCAATCAGCACAAAGGCCCTGAAGGCCGTGGCGCTTGGAAAAACATGCCGGAACGTGGAGGCGTTTTCTCCGCTCTTCAGAGCTTGCAGTGGAGGGCTTCCTGACTGTCAAAAGCCCCACATGAGGATTCCATCCAACCATTCAATTTTGCCGCCCCATTTATATAACCACTTCTGTTTCTGTCAACGGATGCCACAGTGGACTTTTGGCGGGCCCGGCTTGCCGGGGTGAAGACGGCAAAACACGGCGGAACGCAGTGGAGTTGTACATTGCTCGATCATTCTGAGCAAACCTGCCGAATTCTGCACTGCACTGCTGCAATGGAAAAACGGGTTCACGTGAAGCTCAAGTGATTGACACATGGACGCTTTGTGCTCTTTTTCACTGCGGTACCCGCATGCAGTTGAAGCCGGAGGCGCCAGTTCCGGACCCAACTCCTGCGCATCCGGCAAGCAGCGGGAGAGGCTCCAGGCTTGGTGCGTCAGGGCTGCCGTGGGGTGCACGAATATTTGCGCAAGCATAAGTGTACATCCTTTTACTGCTTGATGCATTGCATTCAAGGCTAACTGGTAGCTGACATGAACATATAGACAGCAACCCGTGAGCAACGTGCGGGGGATGGCAGACAGCACAGGCATGCCACCAATCGCAAATGTGACCCTCACAGAAGCAGCTGCTATCGTGAACAAGGTTGGAATGTTTCGACAAGTCGGAATTGTGAATGTTGCAGGGAATTAGCTTCACCTTTCCTTCTGTGTCAGGCTCTGTCACACACCGCTACGTTCCGCAACCACCAGAGGCAAATTCAGCCTAACTTCAGACTGTGGTGCTTTTGGCCCTTTTGGCTCTTTTGTGCGGCTGCCATGATTTGCTACGTCTACGTGCTAGTCACTACATGTCACTACTAGTTACTAGTTGCCCGAACCGCTACTAATCTACAGGCTGTCGGAGTACCTCATGCGTTGAGACCTGCCCACACTCTGAGCCTATACAAAGCTGATGTACAGAGCCGTCGCCCTCTTTATAGTTTGCTGGGCGTCTTCGAGCATCACAACTACCGGGAGGAAAGCGGGTCCAGGATCGAGGTCAAAGGCACCTCGGCTCCTGCGACTACCCTCAGCGCCTGAAGAGTCAATGCCTCCAACTGCTTCGCCTGGCAGCTTGGGCCCTCAAATCAGCTTCCAACTCTTTAAGTCTCGGACGATGAATCTGACAATCAGGCAGTGGAAGGAAACAATAGCTTGAAGCAAGTCAAGAGTTGGGTTAGGACGCTGGGCGGTGAGATGTTCATGACCTTTGTCGGACCTAGCTGAGGGTTTGACTGTGGATGATCCAACAACGTAATTACTGTGAAGACGTGGAACTTTGAAAACAGGGAATTCTTTTCCGCAAATCTCCATTAATCGACCGGTGGTTTGGGCGACAGTGCATTTCAAAGTTCAAGAAGGTTCCCAGAGGAGGCGTCATGATGACCTCCAAGTACTCTGCTTTATGATGGTTCTTGGACTTCGAACAGGCAACCAGTTGACGCACGCAAGCCACCACGTGCGACTTGGCCTAGATATTCCAGTGTAGGGTTTGATTCAATTCAGGCATGAGGGTATGACATGGTATGACCATTTAGCAAGATCGACAGGTGGTTACGGGACATTTCGTCAGTTGGGTCCTGTTGGCAGCATGCTTGAGATTTTTGGTATTCAGCCACCGACTCTTTTGGTTGTAATTTTTTTTCAGTATTATTCGTATTTATCTGCAGTGAAGCGGCTGCAGACATACAGATGTGCGGAAAGGAGCTATCCACGGGATAGGATGGACATTGGGACGGACCGTGTCGTTGAAAAAGTCCTACAAGTCCTACCCCAACCGGGCTGTTAGGGTGGAGGCCATCGCTACTAGGTTGGAGGCCATTGCCAAAAGTCCTACAGGTCCTACCCCATCCATCTTTGTGACCGTCCATCCACCGAGGCGCCCATTTCCGGCGCAGAGCGACAGGCAGCTCCACAGGCGGCGAGGAATCGAGCTGTGATGTTGCTTTTGGAGGTGAGCATTCGTGAGTGATGGGACAGAACATGACAAAATGCCCAGTATTCCATTATTTTTGTGGTATCATTGTTGACACTTGGAATGGTATTCATATGAATCATATGTATTCATGACATTCTGGTACAAGTGCTAAGAAGGTCACTGCCCATATGATAGCAAGAAGGTTGCAAAAACGAGCCGTGACTTTTTTCTTCCATGAGTCCTTCTTGGAACTTAGATGGATGGTCTTTGGCTTTTCTCCACCCCGTTGTGGCTCAATCGACCATTTGTGGTTCTGCAACTGGGGCTGCAGGTTGAAAAAGAGGAAGAGACATCGAGCAGCAAAAAGTGGGCAGCCCATGATGAGAGAACTGTTTTGCATTCCATCGCAGTCTCATAGTCGTAGTCATAGCCCTGAGTCCCTGAGCATGTCAAATCATTGACCACGGCTATTTGACATGGCTCATCTTGCTTGCACGTGGATCATGATGTGGTTTAAGGCCGAGGGTGCCGATCGAGTGCCCCCACGAAGCCAAAGCGTCAATACGATCCAACATGGTCAATTGTCAATGTCAAACATTAGGGTGGAGGCCGTCGCTACTATGTTAGAGGCCATCGCTATTAGGTTGGAGGCCATCGCTACTAATGTTCATATTTTTTATTTGCTGTCGCTGTCGCTGTCGCTGTCGCTGTCGCTGCTGCTGCTGCTGCTGCTGGTGCTGGTGCTGGTGCTGGTGGTGTTGTTGTTGTTGTTGTTGTGCTTTTTTTGGTGGACCACCCTCGTTTAATGTGCCAGTTACACCCCAGCCACCTTGGAAGAGTACAAGCAGCGCTTTGGCAACAAGGCCGACTACTCTGAATTGGGGTCATGGCCTAAGCATGAACATTGCTGGTTGGCTACCTTTCTAGCGATGGGTGGATCAGTCAGTTACTGTAAGCTTGCTAAAGTGGGTGGGAACTGGTGCAGATAGTAGAGGCAGATAGAGGTAGAGCCATCATGCTGCGTCGACAAAAAGGCATTGAGTTTGTCGCTGTTTCAGAAGCCACGGGACGGCTGCTGGGGTCGAAGTACTGCAGTCATCTGCAGCCCCAAGTTTCCCCAACCGGTCTGCCTGTGAAATTGATCTATGAACAGCAGCCTGCCCCCTGGCGTGTGGAGGAGCACGTTGCATCCTTCGCCACTTCACCAGCAGTCGGGTGTTCTCCCCGCGGAAGCAGCAAAAAACCATTCAAAAACCTACCGCGTCATCGGCGTGGAGAACGTGCCGTGCCGCCTGACCAGTAGCATACCAGCGTTCTGGGGCTCCGCTGCAGCGAAAGGAACCTGCTACTACTCACCAGCGATGAGCATTTGTGTATATAACGCAAAACGCTTCACAAGCTGCCACTGTACTTCACCCACGATAGACCGCTCGTTCTATTGGTTGATCAATGGCCAACAAGTTTCGTGTTCGATCCCGCTTCATTCACTGTGAGATTGCAGGCAGCAGGTTCATGGATTCATGTGTGTTTGTTTTGCCGAATCCCGGACGCTCACTCGATGATGCCCGTCGTAGAGCACCTTTGTGGGGCAACGATTGCTCCCAAGGCGGCTGGGGCCTGACCTGGACGACGAGAACCTGCTTATGAAGCGGGCCATTCAGGAAAAGGTCCGGTCGCAGGGACAGAAGCCGCGATTTGAGCCAAAGCACCTTCGGCATTTGCCAAAGTGGGCGCAGCTCGAAAGGTGAAGCAGTTCAGCCGGGAGCTCCACCGTGTGAACAAGCACCGGGCTGGCAAGGCGCAGTTGGGGCCTAAAGAGGGTGCTCTTCAGCGCCGCCTGAACGTGGTTGAGGGATGTTGAGAGTGGAGCTCCAGCTTGGGGATGTCACTGGATGACTTGGGATGCACTTGTTACTAGTAGCTTCTTGGTACTAGTAGTAAGGCACTTGTTACTAGTAGCGATGCACTTGTTACTCTGCAATTGTGGACTAGTTGTGCAGTTTGGTGCTTCCAGGGCTTTGGCTGAGATTTGTTTGGCTGGACCGGCTGGACCAGCTGGACCCTAGTCCTGATGGCTCATAAGAATCATCCACTGGCCACATAAAACTTGGGGCAGTCTTATCATCAGATCATCTAGTCGCCTTTTGTTTAGGAGTTTGTCCTTACAGTATCTCAGCATCTTTTAAGCGCAAGCAGCTGTGGCTTGACCGATGGATGTATACAAGACACCTACACGCACCCACACCCCAGAATGAACATGTACCTGAAACGTGCCAGATCGAATTGGCATGCGCTGAGCTTCACTTCTGTTTGTTCTTCCTCCAGCTTGTCTCGGCCTCTGAGGCCGAAGCCGGAGGCTAAAGCAGAGCCCAAATCCACCGCTCGGGCCAAGGTTCGGGATTGTTCAGGATCAAGAAAGCGTCGTTTCGGGAGGGGTCAGGAGGGGTGTCGGCTTTTTGTACAACCCGCGTCGAAAGAGAAGGAGGATCCAATCGATGGAATGTTGGGACATGCTGCGGAAGAAAACAAAAATCTTCTTTGACAAGGACTTTGGCTCAAACCCGCGAAAGACAATACGACAATGCGCCATCATGGCACCCAGCGACGCCCGAAGGGCCACACGCGACCCACAAGTTTTAAAGAGGACCTCCCAGCATGTCACGGATCTCCAGATCAAGCCATTTGGATCCCGAAGTTGCTTTGCTCTCAGCACTGGATGAGGCCACATACTTTGATGTCAACCGTGTGCTCCAACCATATGTCCAAAGGTTGAGGCGCGACCCTCGACGCATCACATCGGTGTTCAAAGGCATTGCACGTGCAGATGTTGCAGTCAAAGTGCTTGACGTGTTACGGGCCTCCAGATTAGAAATGAATTTGTTTCACTTCAGTGCTTTGATTGGAGCTTGTGAAAGAAGTGGCAGCTGGGAGCTTGCCATAGAAATTCTCTCAGATATCATGCTCGCACGGCAACAGCCAGATGTGATGTGCTACATGCCTGCTCTACGGGCTTGCCAGAAGAGAAGTGCTTGGATGCAAGCGATTCATCTCTTCCGAACTATGCCTACGACACAAGCCACTCCTGATGCCATCTCTTACAATGCAATGATCGGCGTAGCCAAGACCGTTGGGAATTGGCGCCTGGCTATTGGATTCCTAGATGAGATGTTCCACTGGCAAATCTCTTCTACAACGCTCATGGCAGGTTCTGTAATGACTGTATGTCAAGAAGCCAGTCAGTGGCACGCGGTGTTGAAGTTGTTGGGGCGGCTGCCGCTTTTGCGACTGACACCGGATCTTGTTTGTTTCAACATCGCCATCAGCTCATGCGAAGGTATTGGGACTTGGAGACTAGCTTTGTCTTTGCTCGAGGGCATCCTTGGTCAATCCCTTCGAGTCAATGCTGTAACCTTCAATAGTGCAATCACTGCATGTGTCAAAGCGATCCAGTGGCAGGCAGCATTGAGCCTTCTGTGGCAAATGCCATCGGGGCTTCCGGATGTTATCAGCCTCAATGCTGCGATTGCTGCGTGCAGTCAGCAGTGGCAGTATGCTGTAGAACTCTTCGCTAGGATGGCCGAGCATCCGGACCACAGATACCATAAAGGGAATTGTATGATCAAGGTGCCCTTCCCATCTCCAGATGACATCACATACAATTCTGTGATAACTGCGTGCGAGAAAGGAGGGATGTGGACTTTGGCCCTGCACTTTTTTGCGAAGATGCAAAACCGGTTGAAGCCCAACAGTGTGACATATCAAGGTGTCCTCAGTGCATGTGAGAGAGAGTCTCAGTGGGAGACTGCTTTGGCCTTCCTCACTCTGCTGATCTCAAGGCAGGAATTACCTTCAGCGATGCACGCAGGATCGGTCATCCATTCACTTCTCAAAGTTCAAAGCAAAAGTGAGATGGTGCCACGGATCGACCCGCTCTTGCATTGGCTACGAGAGGTTTGGCAAGTCCAGGCAGCAGCGATGACGTCAAAGAAGCTTGGGGAATTGAAGGAGGTGGTCGCAAGCTTGCCAGGTTTGGTGGTGGCCTCCAAGCCCCCTGGTGTGAGTACTGAAGATTTCCGAGACCTACTCGCCAAAGAGCTGAAGCTCGAGCTCTCCATCGTTTCGCGCCTTGATCACCCCACCTCTGGAGTTTTGCCGCTAGTGGTTGGGAACGACTCACCAGGTGATCGGTGGGTGAGAGCACAGTTTGCGGGGCGCATGGTTTGCAAGGAACATGCGGGTTGGCAATTTATGATTTGGCATGGTTGGCCAAATTTGCTATGTAGTTAGGACTAGGACGCTACTAGGGGCTCCTGGCATCGCTACTAGTAACAAGAAGCTACGAGGGGCTCCTGGCCTTACTACTAGGAGCAAGGACGCTAAGCCAATACCTTCTTAGTGCGTTGTTTAAATGATTGCACCCCCCCATGTGATCGGAGTTCGGCGCTAAACATCCGAAATCCCTCACCGACACCCGCAGTGCGTTTCTGAATGTTAGCGACGGCGATGTAGCCACATGTTTGCATGTGCTCCAAAGAGCGGGAGCTGCCACCCTGAAGGAGTATGCTTGCCTTTGTGAGGGCCCATCCCTCGGAGATGTTGGGTATCAGGGCCAGATCTCGGTCCCCCTGCGGACTTTGCAAATTGACGAGACCTGGCAGAGCGAAGCGTGTGATTTGGGCGATGGTTCTGAAGCTGTCACGGACTTCGAGGTGATGGAGAGATATCTTCCGCCTTTCTCTGAAGAAAGTGCCCAAGGGACTTCTGAAGGAGAATTGAAAGAGCTGATTTTTCTCAAGGTTTTCCCCAAAACTGGGCGACGACATCAGATCCGCGTCCACTTCAGCAGCTTAAGCCGGCCACTGGTTGGGGATTTGACCTACGGTCCTGGGCTTGGAGGAAGTTTGCTTCCCACAGAAAGGCTGTTTTTGCATTGTAGATCCCTTTCGTTTTTGGACTTGGAGGGCAAAAGCTTTCAAGTGAACTCTTCTTTGCCGGAAGAGCTTCTTGACTTGCTCCAGACTTTGGACAAAATGGTGCCAGGCCAGGGCATTTGTCAGTCCACGAGGCCCAGTTGCATCACAGCCAGTGGGTTTCCACCTTCGGCTCCCGTACCCCAGTCCCTGCCAGTCCCTCACACCTTGCCTCCCAATAGTGCAGGGTTTTCGGGGCCAAGAGGTTCAACACTTTTTGCACCATGTGTTCAGAGCAGCGGTGCACTGGAGGCCAAAAATCCAAAAGGTGGCACTGGACGCTGTTCTGAGGCCATGCAGTTTGCGAAGAACGTTCCGAAGCCGAAGCTTGTACCACCCAAGCAGGCTTGGACTATAGCTTCGAATCGTAGCTGCAAAAGCATGAAACGCGAGTTCTTTGTTGGCGCAAGACTTGTCTGGAGACTCACTCTTGGGGCCCGGCTAGGGGACGCAGATGTGAATGCTGAATGTAACAATGAGGTAATGTTCTGAGTAATTGTAATGCGGAGGTCTTGGTAACTCCAAGTAAGACTGCAGACGACGACCAGGACTGTAAACAAGTGCGGGCTGGGCTGACTCATCAAGTGCAAACCTTGCAATTTTTGATCAGAAGACCAAAGCTGCAGGATGCCATAGAATGGGAGGAGCTCAGGCACGAACATGCCCAAAGACCTATGAAGCATTCTAAAGCGCCCACTGCTAGCGCTGGATGCAGGCGCCGCGAGCAGCAGCACATGGAGGATGTCGCAAGGGTTGCTGAAGTGAGGCAACTGTTAGAGAAATTGGCCGTGTGAACCGCGTGCGCTGGATGATTGGAAGAGCCCATGTCCATGTGCATACCATTGCATAACCTTGCTATCCTTTCCCTTTACCTATCTAAAATATAAAGCAATGTGCATCCAGCGGAAGACATCACTTGAAGAACTAACTAATGTTTCCGCATGTTTTATGACAATTTGACCATCCCAAGAAGCTGTTGAAGATTGATTCTCATGGTGCCCCTTTGGACCACACCCCAAGGCTCAGTTCAAAGTGTCCCTCACTTTAGTCTTGATGTTCATTGAGGTTGTTGGGGTCAGCATTCACTCAGCCGTATCGACTTTGACCAAGCATCCCTTGATCCGGCATTTGACCCAGAAGGGTGCGTTCTTTGCGCACTGGCCGGCCTGGCCGGGACCGAAAGAAGCCTTGGTGTTCATACAGATGCTCGTTTGTACAGAGAATTTGCCCGACCCGTTTTTGTCTCACAGAAGAGCTGCCAAGCACTTGACCAGATGGCTTCGCCAACGAAATCCGGATCAGGAAACAGTTAAGTACTGAGTCCTTAGACAAAGTGGAGGTTGCCAACTGTCCTTGTGAACAATGTGGCCAATGCATGTGGGTGCGGAAGCGAATGAGAAAAGGGCTTTTGCGGCTGGAGACGAAAAAATCAATCCAGAGTTGCTGCAGTGGTGATCGGTGGTGCCGATAAGGGAGCTGGGATGTAACAATGAAGGGGCTCAGACGCACGTGTCGCCAATTTTCTTTCAGTCAGCTGCTTAGATGCAAAAAAGCACGGTGACATCACTGGAACAGATTGAAACAACCAGCCACATGAACATAGTGACCCTGCTGTCAGCATGCTATCGGCATGTTGTCAGAGGAGGTTGGACATTTTTGTTTGATGACCACCCTCAGATCTATCAAGTTTTCACGTTTGAACCTTCTTGAGCCGCCCTCGGAGATGTGAATTGGCGCTTGACCACAAATCTGGATGGAGAGACTTTCATCGGTCACCTCCACGGGGAGGTCTGTGCTCGGGACTCGGTGTCTCACACCACCAACTTGTCACTCAAGATGTGTGGACCAGCTCTTGAGTTGGTTTTGCCAAGCTGAGGCTGAGCCATTGGGGCTTTGCTCGGGCTCATTCAAAGTTGCTTCATCGAAAGCTTTCCATTGGAGGCAGGCCTATGGCCAGCCTTCGCATTTTTTCTCTCGTATGGCCCAGGTCAGAAACATGAGCTTGCATCCAGGTATGCCGATTCACGTTCGACAAGTGCAGGTGGGGCCAGAAGTGGTGCAGCACAAAGTTCTGCAGGACTGCCACCTTTCCACGCACATGAAAGGTTGCCTTTACAGGGCACCTTTGGTGATGCTCAAGACCAACCCTGTGGAATTTTGAAGGGCAGCACTTAGCCGGTGCAGATGTCCGAATTTTGGATCGCGTTCGTGCATATGAGGCACATGAGACACACAGTGGCAAATTGGCTCGTTGCTAGGAGGACTGTCAATCTTGGCCTTTGTTGGGGTCACCTGCCTTGGATGGGGATGTGTCAGACACCTGTAGTGGAGCAACCTGGGTCACAAAGCCCAAAGCAACATTGCAGTCTTTTGGCTCTCCCTTCTTTCATCGTGGATTGATGATGTGAACGCCAGCGCCACGAGTGCTGTGTTAAGGTGCTGCCCAGCCTGAGCAAGAAGCGAGAGCGAGGGCGAAGGAAACTGGGAAGATGTTCCGGAGGCCTGGACCGTGGAAGGAGCTTCGGGGTGAGCGTTCTCAGATCCAGCAGAGGTGGCCTTTCAACCACATGGGTCAGCGGTATCCGAGATATTGCGCTTCAGCTGCACTCAGCAAGCAAGTGGCCAATACGCAGTTGCCGATCCTGGAGCCACACTGAGGCAGATCAATATGACGTGCTATGCTGAGTGTATAGTGCCGCGTGGTGATACATCGTTTCTGGTTGCAGATCGTGCCACTAGACGTGTAGCTCAGGCCTTCATTTTGGATTTGTGGTTGCCTCAAGGGGGTATATGTTTACTTCAATAGAATGCAGAGCTATTTGCTTTCTGGTGGCTTTTTGGTGATGCTATTTCCCCATGTTGCCGCGGTCCTCCCTTTTCTCGCTACTTTTGTCACCAAGAAAAATATCGCCAGTACAGATCGTCATAGACTGCCATGTAATCGGGAGAGTGCACCAAAAAAGTTGCTCCTTGCCATGCCTAGGGGCCTAGCTAGTATGAGATGGAATGATTTTAGCAAACATGGGCTGGACAGGCGGTTTGTACTGGAGGAACAAGGCGGACAAACCTAGCTATAGAACTATTTACCTAACGAACTAAAAAGCTCACACACACACACATATATATATATATATAATACAGGGGGTATCTTAATCATGTCTCAACACTACTAGCATGATACGTTTTCATGTGTTCAGCTTGATCACAGCTGATCGTTTGTACAACTTGCTTCCTCCTGCTCGCATTGTGAACATTGCAAAACTTGACTTGATGGTCTGAACTGGTTCGCTGTTAGTTTGTTTGGACATCCAAGCCTGTTGTTGGCAGTGAAGGTGGGGCGTGGTTCACAATGGGGCAGTGGCATTTCCTTGGGCAAAAGAGACCCTGATGGAGCTCAAACGGCTGAGGAGTGATCCTCAACCACGGATTGTGATGGATTTTGTATTCAAACCATCCGCTGGCTTTGTTGAGCGGAGTACGGCTTTGGACCTTGCAGGAAGCTGGTCCTCTTTCTCTCCAACTCCTCCCGTCGCCGCGAAACCAACAGCGCCGCCTTGGAGAAGCTGGGTGTTGGCAGCAGCCTCAGAGTACTTGGAGCCGCACCTAAGAGGTGCCAAATTTCTCCAGATAGAAACACGCATTGTAACAAAAAATCAACCATTGGGATAGACACATACACAGTAGAAAAGATTATCGCAGACGAGTCGGACAGTGCGCCCTGTGATCCTCACACAGCAGAGCAGTTCGGAGCGATCACATCTTTTGCCTCTCGCGACTTAAACAGCGGGAAGTGGACGCGATCCAACCGCCTTTAGGTGAATTTCACCACGTCAGACCTGGCTTTGGTAGCCAGTCCATCGGGGACCCCAATCAGCATGGTTTCCCTTTTCAAAACCAATGTCGAAACAAGAAAAGTCAGTCCTCCGCATTTCAACCAAGCCAAGACCCCCAAACAACCGATCCAAGGTAGAAACAAGAGGTTTCAGAACCTGAGTGAGGGGAGGCTTGGCAAAAAGGTCAAAAAAAGGGGTGTGAGCCTCCGTCCAGCAGAAGTATCAATGGGAAGAGCAAAACCAACACCCGCAAGAACAAACACCAACTCAACATCCGAGATCCAGTATGGTTGAGATTCCTGCACTTCCCAGTCAAGAAACTGTTCGACTAGACTGCGGGCGAAAGCTACGGGGTATGCCAAGTGCATTCCATCAAGAGTGGACGACCAGCCGACGGGCAAAAGATCTGAAAAAAGTGTTTTCGTCACACCACCTAACGGCACCACTGAGTTCAGTCTCGTCCTTCTTAGCAGCAGCTGGACCTTGCACATCTGCGATAGCAAGATAAAAGTCACGCAGCTGCTTGAGCTTGTCACGGAAAAATGCAAACTGATCTGCCAAACCCTGTGCCAGTTGCAATCCCAGTGGCTCGCGAAATCCGTTGGCTTGACCTGCTATCAAGCCTACCTTGTTGTTCCAAAAAGTGATCCAAGCTTCATAATCATGCTCCAGATGGGCCTTGCTCAAATGAGAGGGAATCCAACGTGTATGTGTGCAGAGGAGTAGAAAAGATTAGAAACCAATCAAGAGCACTCGCATGTCATCTGGCATTTTTTTGTCGATACTACTTCAGCCTTGCACGCTCAAGCAAATCTCAGTTCTCTCTGCTGAAATCGACAGTTTATTGTGCCTGTTTGGCTGTTTGAAGCTGTGTCGGCCAGCGATCAAGATACAAGATGTTTTTAGACATTTCAAGGCCCCGACCTTTACGTTGACCTCATCACCAGTGGAGAGGTCAGCTGGAGGATTTTGGCAGGTTGGGACCTCAGCCAGTTGCTGTGATAGTCTGCAGTATCCTGCAGAGTTCTTTTTTGAGATTACCAGCAGACGTATGGACTTTCAGCAGTTGCATCCCTCCTGCTGCGAGCACTCTTCACTCTAGAGTAGTAGCGCAGCAACCCAAGAAGTTACAAAAAGGTGAGGAAACAAACAACCACAGAAACCCAATATTAGCGCGTCAAAGCTCCAGGATTGAAACCAACACACGCACACAGATACATATACGGTATATATATATAATATATATATATATTATATGAATTTGTTTTGTTTTTGTTGTTTGTTTGTTTTTGAATCTGTGCACGACCCTCTCCCTACCACCATTGTTCTTTTCGGTTGCGTCCAGCGTTCACCTTGCAACCACGTCATGTCGGAGTTAGTGTGGCCAACGCCAGCACAATCTGTTGTCCCGGTCCCACAGCAAGGTGTGCACGACAAGTTGCAGTGTAGATGGAATGCAAGACCTTGATTCGATTGAAGAACTCGGAGCGTGCAAACCCCCCAGATTGAAAGTCCCATACATATGTACCGTAGGTTTGTTGGTTTCCAATTTCCAATCCACACTTTTAGATAAGTGTGTCTAAGTCTAGATTGTTTTCGACCATGTCGCGGTTGGCTTTGGGTGTGACATGGCAGGTGCATGCGACGCAGGTGCCTCAATCAGGAAGCGTTCCCGAGGCTACTTAACATCGGTCATGTTAAGGTCATGGACCACATCACCACGATCAAGGAGGCAAAGGCGGATTGCTTGGTAGACTGCGATTCTTACTGAAGTTTTGGCATGAGCGGTGGCAGAGAGTTGGTAGACCCTTGGCCTTGCAGAACATCCTTACCTTTGGAAATGGCAGTGATGATGTTGAGTGGCAGCCTGAGGCATTTGAAGATGGTAGAGTAGCAGAACAACTGCCGGTGTTTGATGCTTCAACAGTCTCAAGAACTTTCACGGATGTGTTCACAGGTACATGCGAGCGCTGAAGGAGAAGAACGTTGCAGCATGGAGCCTGATGGCAAAATCTGTTCCATAGATTCCCTATTTGGTATTGAGAAGCTGCCTGCGCAAATCGTCAGAGTTGGCTCTCCTAGGCTGATGCGGCGGAGGCGCTGCACTCATAACCCATGAGATGGGGAGGTGGCATACCCCGACCATACACTTGGGAGCTTGACCACGCAATCCACCCAGAGTGCATTGGCCAATTCTCATGGATATAGGGGAGCCACCACGGTGAGTTTCAAGACTGGGCTGGGCCCCTTGCCCAGAGTCAAAGACAGAGACATGGTGTCCAAGCCACTCAAGCCACTCATCAGGCGGACTTACTGCTGGCGCGAGGCTGCTTCAGTCTTTATGGTCCAGAGGTACGGGTCTAGTCGTTGCAAATAACGGGCTCTGCTTGGCTGCGCATGAGTTCGGGTGGTCATGGGTGCAGAAACTACATCAAAGAAAGTCGAATCCGCTTGCTTCGCTATTATTTGATTTCCGTAGAGGCAGATGTTGGATTTTATGCCAATCTTGGCAATTTACTGTGGATTTATTTGATTGGAACGGGTGTGAAACATGACTTGACCGATGCCGGCAAGGTTAAGCAGGCAAGTTGGGAGGACTTGCCTGTGCCACTGCGATCATCCAGACCTACCACAGATCATGCAAGCTAGATCGAGTTAGCTTTGAGTAAGATCAATAGGCTGACTGGAATCTATGCGAGCTGGGTGCACCTAGGTGATCCAGGTGGTGCCCGTGTATATCGATCATGTTGAGGTTTTGAGCGAGACAGAGCGACATGCCCACAACTTGCCGTTGTGGATGCCCTACTGTAAAGGATTTTGACGCTCAACTTCGCCTGGCCGCAGCTGGACGTGTGAGAAACTGAATGTGGTTGCCATTTGTTTCCCGGATTTTTTGTTGCAAGCTATGCAGCTATGCCTTCTGCAAGTTGAAGAGACAGAATCAATCTGAAAGTGCTATTGGTATGTTTCATGATGCAAGCTAGATCCAACATTCCCGATTTAGTTTGGAACGCACGTATGCATCGGCTATTCATTGCCGGGACTTTGAACGGCGGGGTGAGGTGCCGATGCTGGTTGCGAACCCCGATGTGGTACGGCCTGATGGAAACGACAGCCCCATGCCTGGAAGGCAGAGATGAATCGTCTCAAAGAGAAAATGCATGAGAAGAATGCAGGGCAGGGCGTTGGAAGGAGAACATGGTTATTCCGTATGGTTGGCAGTGTTTTAGTTCTGTGAATGCAGCTGGTGGGGATCGCAACAGCACTCAGAACCATAGACCACTCCGAGTAATGTGGAGATCTATGACGAAGGTCGGCATAGGTATATATAGAACATTGTCTGAAGACTTCGGACACAGTTCGTTATATAATTAGTTGCTCTAAGCCTCTAAGCTCCTTGTTTTGTTGTTTTCCTCTATGATTTTTCTATGTAAATGCTTTTTGCTTTGGTGTCCCCACATGCACTTGCCCCGTGCCGTTAGGCTGGCGCAGCGCTACCGAGAATTGGGTGGGTCTGTGCCTTGACAAGCAGCCACTCGGTCCACTTTTGAGAGCCCGGTGCTGGCAGGCCTGATCCAACCTTCGTGGGAAAGCCTCTCGCCAAAGAACTGTGCAACATCGGCCAAATGCCAAATCCCATTCTGGTAGAGTCTGGTAGACTATTTCGAGCTGTGCCGACAAGTAAGAGCTTTCCAAGGCCATACGCAGAGGTCTTCCAATTAGCACTTGAACAGTTGCAGGAGGCCGCAGTGTTGCATGCGGCATTGCACATAACAAATGACACGCAATCATGACCATGCAACAGCTTTCGTTTTCTTGGAGGCCGGCGTGCCTGCCACAGCTCGAGTTTGTATGGTGGGGGATAGCGCTCGAGCCTCACAGGTGGTTTGACCACGTTTGACTTACACCCTTGCAGCTTGGGGCACAAGTAGAGGACGTGTCAGCCTGGCAAGGTTCGTCATGACGTGCGCGGTGCTTGTGCTGCTGGCCTTGATGTCGTGGGCCGAGGATCACAGAGCCAGGGACAGTATTGAGTATGGTCATCGAGGTTGTGGGCAAACCTCGGCGAAACCGAAACCCAACCTTTACTTCTGAGGTTGTGCTCCTGTGCAGTGGTGTGCACAGTGAAGACTGTCCGGCCTGTTAGAAGATGTTTCAGTCACCGTTCTGAGAGGGCCGTTTATTTTGTTTTTGTTTTTTCCCAAGCTGCCTTCTTGTACGTTCTTGTATGAATCATCGTCAGTGTCACTGGGTTGATTCACCGGGTCGATTGTCGTCATGAGTCATGCTAGTCGTTGGCCGATCCTTGTGGTCCAGGCACTTGGTCTCGAGCAAGCCCCAGCTCCGCCACGTGGCAGCCTTGGTTGGTCAACTGAACCTCTCCTGGCCAACAAGAAGACCTGAGGTCGGCCATCAGAAGAGAGCAGCGGCCTAGGACGTCCTAACCACCAGAGTGAAACATATCACGATCTCACATCTATGAGGTTGGGAAGCTCTAACCGACTCTAACCCACAAACAAACTCCCACAAAACTAATGTTCCCAGTAAAATGGACACGATACGAGTGAATGTTTGACCGCTGAGGTTTGCGGGGGTTCTTGGGTGCTTTGCCCCCGGAGGACGCACACCTATGAGAGAACTTGCACGAGACGTTTGATGTATATTGTACGATGGTGTACAGTCACGGTGATCGCATGATGAGCTGCTCAAAAGTTGTTCCCAAAAATGCACCATACCGCTACACCACTTGACAACAATGCAGCACCAGGTGCAGAAAGAGTGACAGACCATACAAAAAAGCGTTAAGCTGTTGAGGTTTGACACGATTACTCTATATATGCATGTACATATAATACATCTCCTCCTATGCAACTAGTATGAGGGGAGATTTGATAATGAGCATGCACAGAGGCGATGGCTGGTCACCCACTTGTGACTTCTAGTAGACCGTGGAGTAGGGAGATTTTGTGAAGACCTGGATCGCCATGGATACTCTTCACTGTGCAGCCATGATTTGCACCTACCCTCTTAACTCCATTGCTGCAAGCTTGGTGTTCACCGCCATGGCCCTGGCGCGTGGTGGTGTTTACCTTCGCACTGCAATTGCCGCGTATATCTGCTGGATACTTGTTGACCCATCGCCGGCAAGGGGAGGCTATGAGCCGCTGGCTCAGTTGTAGGTTGTTCTCTGGCATAGCTTCGGAAAGATTGGTGAGATGGGGTGTCCTTACGGTGTCCTTCAGGACCTCGACATTTTTGCCACTTGAACCACCCACACAGTGACTTTGCTCAGGTCTCTTTGGAATCTGGGTGTCACCGGAATGCTGAGGAGATCGTGGATGTGGCGATGGGCTTGCAGGTATTTCCCAGTACGCTTGGTGAAATCAATATCGTTGTTTTCAGTCCAGTGGTACTGCATATATATTTATACAGTATACACCCCTGCTGTAACACATGCGTCCCCAATTATTAGGGGTCACTGTGCCTTCCTACACAGCCACACTGTTGGCAATGCTGAGGTGACCCTAAAAGCTACTTCGCAGTTGCCTGCGGAGAAAGGTCCATACATCTTTGTGTGCCACCCACATGGCGTCTTGGCTTCGGGTTAGGAACAAAGGGCATCGCTACTACTGGCAAGGACGCTACTAGTAGCAGTGGGTTCGGCCACATGGCGTCTTGGCTTCGGGTTGAGGGCCCACAAGCCTGGCAGCCCGCAACTGCTGCCGAGAGAAGGTCGCAGCCCTCACAACACTTGCTTCTAAGGTATCATTGGAGTGTCTCCTATGACGTCTTTTGGCACAGATGCAAGTGGATGCCAGGCCTGATTTTGCACCGTAACTCCGTGCATGTTTTGGTTTTGATTGAAGCGTAGGAGCACATCCCCCAACTGTTCGAAGCCTTTTGAGCTGTGGTGCTGCATGGTGCACTCCAGCTGAGGATTCAACACGACCTTCCCTGGACTCAAGGTCCACCTGCTGGGCCACAATGCAATTTTCCGAATTCCCTTCTTCAGAGCTCCTCAGCACAAGCGATAGACTATAGACAGGAAGGTTCGCAGCAGCAAGGCTGCGGTTGGATTGAAGATTTTAAACGTTGTCTTCTTCCGACAAACAGGAACCCTCAAGTCACCTAAATGTATCATCAGATTGGGTAGACACTGCCATATCATGACATTTCTCGCCCAGGAGTGGTGCTTGATGCATGGGCATGGCGTCGCAGGCCGCGACACTTGCCTCTACCTGCTGCGCCGTGGGCATTCCATTGCTTTGGCGCCCGGAGGCCACCATGACGAGCCAAACATCCTGACGGTAAAGTCGAATAAGGCTTGCTCCTAGTAGCGATGCCCTTTGTTCCCAGTAGCTTCATGCTCCTAGTAGTACGACCAGGAGCCTAGTAGCGTCTTTGCTCCTAGCTTCGGTTGATCACCCTGGCTTGGTTTGGGCAAATTGCGCAGGTGCGAAGGAAAGCTTGGAGAGTGTGCCGGGTACAATGCGGCTGGTGCTGCGAAATCGGAAAGGCTTTGCTCGCTTGGGTCTTCGAGCCTAGCAGCATTGAGGGTTTTTTAAAATGAGATGTTCCACTGGTGAAGAAGAGACTGTCCGAAGAGGTCATTCTACCATTGCATTCAATCTTCCACCAGTCCAGTTCCCAATGGTCGAACAGGTGTCAGAGAGCAAGTGTGTCATGGGTGATGAGGAACTGGTGCTGCTCTAGTTCCTGTGCTCGGCTTTGGCGAGAGTCTTGGCCTATGATGGGGGAAGGCAGATGCAATACTGTCTGTATTGGGTGTCGGAATGCAGGCTAGGTTATTGGCAGGATTTGCCAAGTTTGAAGCGCATGCAAGCTTTCTTCGTAGTGCTTTCGAGGACCACAGCCTCCGTTGGACACAAGTAGACTACAAAGCACAAGAAACTGGAATAGCATGCAATCATTTGACGAGAATCCCAAAGGCGTCGATGGCCTAAGGAGTAGGTGCCCACAAGCTAATGCATGAAGTCGCCACATGTTCCGGTGAGAATGCGCATGTAGATGTTTGTTGGCATGTCACCTAGCTGAGTGAGTGTGTGAGTATAGTGAACTGTGTTAAAGCACCCTCAAGCAAGTAAGTAAGTGGAGATGTCTTGGAGCCTAAGGAATGAGTTGTACTCTACGGTGCAGTTCGAAAAACACACCTGGCGGCGGAGGATCCAAGAGAGACTGCAACAGCGTGCCTTGGCGGGGTCACGTGGTGGCCGGCACAACGTTGGAATCACAGACAGACAGACAGAGACAGACAAACAGGCAGGCAGGCAGGCAGGCAGACAGAGAGAGAGAGAGAGCACATTCATGCCGGCACTGACTCGGATTTGCTTTCCAAACCTTGAGAACTGGAGTGCAACAAAGGGTGACGTCGGATATTATGTATGTAGATCCTGTCATCAATCCATCACAACTAAATGGACGCCTATGTGAATGCAGGCCAACCAGATTGACTTGGGACCATTCTCTCTTGTCTTTTCTCCAATTCATCACTTCAAGGCCTGGGCTTTGCCATGCCGCTGTTCTATGGCCTTTCATGGCTCCCCTTGGTGCCTCGCAGGCGCCCAGTCACCACACTGGTGGGGCCACCCCTGTGGCCTCCAGAAGTGGTGGCAGATCCAACAGCAGAGAATCTTTGCTTGAAAGATTATACCGTCCTCCAAGCAATAGCCAATGACAGGAACTTCGAAATTAGATGAACAACTTCCAAACAAGATGAACAGGTTCGCTTACTTTTCTTTACATTGGGGGCCAGACGTTAACCTGGTCGAATGTGTGATTGCGCTTGCTTGCAAAAGGAGTCCTGCGTGGAGGACCAGGATGTTTGTTTATGTTTGTCAAATTCAGACGCCTGATAACATGGCCTGGCCGCGGGGCCATGCTTAGGGTGGGGCCATGACTAATGGTCGTGTGATTTGAGGCAAGTGGATACGTTCCATGGGCAATATTGCCAAGCTCTTCGAGATCCTCGGCTTGGGATGCCAAGCTCGTGTGGGCATTTGCCAGGGGAGTAGTAAGAACTTGCGCAACCTTTTCCCGCCAAAGGTGGCATTTGTTGGTTGTTGGCGTTGTGCGAGCACACTCAATGATTTGCTTGTGCAATTTGTTTTCATCTGAGTTTTGTTGAGGAACTCTTTGATAAGCACAAGGCATCCTACGACATGGCTGATGTTGCTTTGGACCTGGTATAGTCGCAGCTCTGAGAGCAACTCCACAAGGAAGTTCTTGACCAGTACAGCAGTGCCCTCTGCGAGCCGTTGTGGGACACCAGGGCCTTGCCGTGGGAAAGCCTTGGGCCAGAGTCCGACACGTGCTACCTTCCCTTCAGCAATAACATGGAGACCTCTCTCTATGCCTTCTTAAGGGTAGCCTTCAACCGTCATCACTGTAGTTCTCATTTGATTGTTGAAGGGGAACATGTTTTTGGTATTGGAAAACATTCCATAATGCTGCCTTGAAACTCTCACTTGGAGACGTGAAGGCAGAGACCTGCTGCAGGGGCTTGCATTTGGTTTGCCTCAGGAATCAGGAATCAAAAAAAGGCCCGGTGGAAGGGTGCATTGCTTGAGCAGGCCGGCCACCAAAAGCAAAGTAGGTGAGATAGAACGGTGAGAGTGATACCGGATTAGTGCAAGCGGTAGTGCAAAAGTGATAGGTGCGGAGCATCCACCGAATTCCACCGCGGTTTTCTTGGGATCAGGGTCTGGGGCAAGTAGACCTTTATGACCTCCACAAATCTGGATCTCCCGGTCTCGAAAAATTGCAAAAGAGTCACCCTCCCGTTCGGAAGTTCTTCGGGCCAGACCCCGGTGCGCCGCTAGGAGACCCCAACCTACGTGACCGCGGCACTGGCCTGGGGCGAGGTCCACCTCAGATTGGCTCCTCAAACGGGGCGTGCCCAACTTTACTACCTATGGCACCTACGGACTCATTTTTAACAGCAATTGACAAATACATCTATATAACATGTGCCAACTCTCTTGGTGTGACCAACCCGACACCAGAAAGCAAAGAGCTTACGAAGCCCACGTCACCGTAGGACCGAGGATCGTTTGATGAAAAGACTAAGACTGTCTCCATGTTTGCCATGCGTGGTGCAGGTGGAGGATGGGCGGGTTTCAGAGGAGAGTGAGGTAGCAGTGTCCTCAGTTAATGCCCGACTGGCGTGAGCACGAGCAGGAGAACCGGCTTTTCAGGAATGGCTATGCGTGCAAGGGCCATGTTGATGTGCTTTGCGGAGATCTTTACAAGGGGGCATACTGCAGTTTACGCGCACACACGCACACATACATATATACATATATAATACACTGTATACATTATATATAGTATATTGTGTATGTATAAGGCAAACCCGCTCTAGCTTCAATTGCATTGGATGTTTTAGATACACCCATTCAATAGGAGAGTCTATTGGATTTTTGACCCTGCGACCAGTGGCCAAAGGGCTGGGAGTGTAGATCTGCATATTGACGCTTTTCTCCTCCTTGGCATATGTGAGAGATCATTTAGTTGGAGGCCATCGCTAGTAGGTTGGAGGCCATCGCTATTAAACAAGCAACGACAAGTTCTGGGAGGACTAGGTCACAAAGATTTCAGCTGAAACCTTGCCTATCAGTGAAATCAGTTCCGAGGCGGTTTGTGGCTTAGCCTGTGTGGTGTGTGCCCCAAGACTGAGTGAAAGCTTGTTGAAGGGTTCGGGCTGTTTAAGCCACTATAGCTGACTTGCTGCACCAATGCATCAGGGAACATCACAGGTCACCAGATGCAGCAAGGCAGTCGTGCGTCAGGCACAATCTTACAGCAAAGGGGACATCACATTCACAAAGGCAAAGATGGGTTAATCCATTGGGTGATTTTCTATGTGAGGACATTGCCCAGGAAGTGGAGGCATTCCCAGCAGCAGATGCCAAGGCCAGCCAACTGCTTGATTGATTCGTGGAGTGCACCTGCCAAAACAACATAACATGAAAAGAGAACCACCTCAGCCATCTAAGGACCTCGTTGAACACTGGAGAGTTGTTTCAATTGCAGCACCAGCCGCACGCGTCAGCACGTTCGCAAAATTCGTAACTGACTGGGGCCACAGTCAAAGGACATTTGAGTTTAAGACCTAGGATGACATCAACAGTGCTTAAGAAACCAAAACTAGATTTGCTTGCGCTTTGCACAATTTTGTCATCGCTGCCATGCGGCTGGCCTTAACACGCACCTTGGCCCCCGCGGTGCGGAGACGGGCTCCCAACTTGCTTCGATCACTGGCAGACGCGAGCGACAAGAGTCCGATACAGCGTTCGCCTGAGCTGGAAGAGAATCTCCGAGAGCAACGGGCATCGACCGGGTGGTGGAATCGCTGGGTGCAGCTCTCCTACAAGTGGCTAGGGTCTTCATATTTTCATCGAAAGGCCTGGAATGGACAGTTGTTGGCGAATAGCCCTAAGGTTGAAAATTGTACAGTATATAGAGATTGGGCTAGTTCCGTCAGAATTGGGCATGTCTGGGCAAAAGAGGTCAACCTCTGTCAACCAAACTCATTCATTGCCTTTTGACGGTGACGAAGCACATTGTAGTCACAGCAAATCTTAGCTGACAACTTTGGGACAGCCTGCCCATCGAAGGGATGGATCAAATGTCACGAAAGCTAGCATGCTAGCTGAGTTCTTCTTTGCTTTAGCAATTGGTAGTGGGGATGAGCTGCGTGCCTTAAACCTTGATATATCACACTAAGGGGGGGGGGCCTGGCCCCCCCACTCTAGCGTGATATATCACGCTAAGGACCACCCCCCCGTCCCCCCCCCCACGGTTCAAGTCCTAGCTGCAGGCGTTTTGGATTTTGGGGTGTGCGTTCAAAACCAGGATGTCAAAGACATCATGCACTTGAATTTTGGATGATGATCCCGGATAGCGGAAACACATGTAATTATTGGAGAATCAAGATGACACTCATGGGATTTTGCATGCGTTTTTGCAAAACATCCACTGATTTAGTGTTTGTATTTAGGATTCATTGACAAGCTTTGTCGGAAGCATGGTCAGCTTCGTCGGAAGCATGATCATTTGCTCGTTTTTTCTTGTGGATGCATCACATAACATTTCGGCCGCGCCTCGTCAGTTGATGAATCTTCATTACCTGAGAGCAAAGTGTTTGAATTTACTGTCTTGGACATGTGTGGTTTGGCAAAATCACGAAAGCTAGCATGCTAGCTGAGTTCGTCTTTGCTTTAGCAATTGGTAGTGGGATGAACTGTGTGCCTTAAGCTTGATATATCACGCAAGCCCCCCCCCTCTGAAAAGTAGAGCCTACCTGTACAGGGTTCCACTCCAACAGCCGATATAGTGTGTCCATACTTGACTGCTTCAAGGCTCAAAGAGCAAGAGGATAAGACTCTGCGCATAAAAGACACTAGCGGTCTGCACCTCTACCGTGTACGCCCTAGTCACTCTTTCAGTGGTAGCGGAGCAGTGATCCTGGAAGACCCAGGTGAGCTCCTTTCCTAGGCATAGACTTGCTAGTGGGCAAACAGCCATGGATTGGATAGACGACTGGGAAGAGCCTGATGCGGATGTGGCTTATGAGCCAGCAGCCTATGTGAATAGGCATGTGAGAAGAGAACCAGCAGCAATAGCAATGACAACACAGGTCACTACAAAGGTGCCCCCATCTTATGATGGAAAGACTTCATGGTTTTCCTATGAGGATGCCATAGACGATTGGTGTGATATCACCGAGCTGGAAGATGAGAAGAGAGGACCAGCATTGAGAAACAGATTAGAAGGAGAAGCAGCTGTATACAAGCGTGTTTTAGACAGAGATGCATTGAAGGCAAATGATCCACCAGGAGCCGGCGTAGAATATTTCAAACGAGTACTGCGACCATATTTCGTGAAAGGATCAACCAATGTATTCCTGTATAGATTTATGCAATTCGTGCGCTTCAATCGAGGATCAGCTGACATGATGAAATGGATGACAAGATTCCAGATTTTACTCCAAAGGCTTATGAGCAGTTGGATGGACATGTTAGAACCAGTCACTCAAGCACATCCACAGGTCCTAGCTCAGATGCAGGCAGATGCATCGTTGACTGGAGTAGCACCAACGGCAGAAAGGATTCAGGAAATCATGCAGACCATCAATGGCAATATGAGGACTTTTCATCAGAACGAATTTCCTCTAGGAGAAAATCTGATTGCCTTACTCATGCTGTCACTTGCAGATTTGTCTCAGGACCAGCGAAACACTTTGACTTCTTTGATGACTCATCGTGGCAGGGTCCTGCAGCAATACACCACAACAGAGTTGAGGACAGTATTCATTGAGATGTTCTGCACAACAAAGACTTCAGTAGACAATCCTTTGATGCAGCCGACAGGTGCTGGAGGTAGAAGATCATTTCTCGTACTAGACGAAGGAGAACTCGATGGTACATTTGGCTATTGGGCCGAAGATGAAGAAGATGGAACAGAAGGATTCCTAGATGCCCTAGACGATGTCTTTTGGGTATATGATGAACAGAATTTCTCTTGGTCCCAGAGGAGATTCCAAGGAAGAAGAGCCAGAAAAGGCAAAGGAAAAGGAAGAAGAAAAGGAAAAGGTAAAGGAAGATCAGGCCGCAGATTCTTCAGACCTCGTGGAAAAGGAAAAGGAAAGAGACGAGGTAAAGGCCATTTTGCTGATGAGCAACAGACAACTTTTCCAGATGAGTATTATGAAGAGAATCCTTATGAGGACACTTGGGAGTCAAACCAAGTAGCGTATGATGCCATTCTTGCCGAAGATATGAATGACTATCTTCAAGGAGAATATGATGATGCCAATGACTTTTGGCAACAGCTTGAAGAAGCATGGTTTTCCCACAAAGGAAAAGGAAAAGGCAAGAGAAAAGGCAAGAAAGGAAAAGGAAAAGATAAAGGAGATGGCAAACAAGATGCAAACTATGCAAATCAACAACAGCCACGTTCTTTGCCTGCACCTTCAAGATCTTCACAAGCATCAGGAGGTCAACAAGGTTTCTTTGCACATTGTGTGACAGCAGCAGCTGAAGTCCATGACAGTGAGGTGAACTTGCTGTCAGGCATGATGACCTCATGTCAAGATGAAGCTGACTGCGCGGTCAACAATGGTGAGACGATCTTCAATGGCATGAGTGCCCCTGTGAGGTACTCTTTGTCAAAGGAGATGCTCACAAAGGCTCCTGATGGTTTTGCGCTTATGAGCGCTGAGGAAGAAGTGAAGGAGATGCAGGCCATTTCATTTTTGACTGAGAATCGCTTCCCGCCGACTATTGCAATCCTGGACATTGGATGCACTAGAGCTATGGGATCAAGGCGAGCAGTCGACCATTTTTGCAACTATGTCGACAATCACCCAGATTGTGGATTATGGTACTCTTTTGAGGCTACCAAGAGCAAGTTTTACTTTGCCAATTCCCAGAAGGCTACTTGCTCTCAGAAACTGGTGATTTACATGTATGATCGTGCATGGACGATCCACCATACAGAGTTCGACATAGTGGAAGAAGGAGAAGTCCCTTTGCTTATGAGCTTGCCACAGATGAGGAACTTAGGCTTTGAACTCAGGCTGACACCTCAACATGCTTATCTGACATCGGTGCCTCTTGGTATCAAATATTTGGAGTTGAAGGTTGCAGCCAGTACTCATCTTGTCTTGGACTTCCAAGATATTGCATGGTATCTGTCTGACGTGAATTTGCAGACTCGGCGCGAGAAGAGTTTTTACTCTCACTTCACTCACTATGAATATGGTCATATTTCTGTTGATCACAATAGTGATGAAGATGTAGCTGAACATGCATATCCTGTGGTTGACTACTGGGAAGTAGATGTTCACAAGAGAGAACTGATACGTCACCACAAGGATTATAGAAAGATTCTTTTTCCAGCAACTAAGTCCTGTCCTGTAGACACTGACTTACTGGAAGACTTGCGACTGACAATCATCAAGAAGAAGAAAGGAGGAGAAGAAATCAAGAAGCTAGATGATTGGCGCAAGGCAAAATGGAAGGACCTACAAATTGGCTATGAATGGCGTGGTAGAACAATTTTTAAGTTCAAACCAGATGCCAAAATTCCAGATCTAAAGATCAGGAAGGCTGGCATTGAGCACCGTGGCATTGGTGATCCCGATGCAGTGGTGCGCTCCTCCTCAGAGAAGGTTCCCATTGCAAAGGACAGGGAACCAGGCTTCTCGTCAGAGAAGGAAGGTGCACCATCAAGCGCCGCGGAAAAGCCCGTGCCGCCAAAGTTTCGGTATACTTCCAAGGGTTTTGATCCATTTTGGAAGGGACACAAGTCGAAACCATCTGAGCCTCAGAATGATTTAAAGGGTGATGATCTTGAGGAGTATGCTCCCTCAGAACCACCTGAGAGGCCAGAAGGTGAACTTGTAGAAATTCCTAAAGCATCAAAAGGACCATCAAGTGATAAACATGAACCACTTGAACCAGGTGATGGCGCTCTTGAGCCTAGGCGGATTTCAATCCCATTACCTGGTAGTGAAGTTGTTGCAATGACACCGGCATATAGGAAGATGTTACAGAGACTGGAGGACAAGGTAGAGCTTTATAAGCTTCATGTGAAGCACTACCATATGAGTCCTACTCAGTTTCGTAGACGTGTTTCTATGTTGAAGCTTCCTGACTCTGTTTTAGAGAAGTATGAATCAGTTGTCAGGAACTGCCGTGTTTGTAACACTTCAGTGGCACCTCCGCCACGAGCCAGAGTCTCCGGTATTAGAGCT